GCAACTCCTTCAGCAGGCGGATCAATCTTCGACAGTTGTTCGGCAGCTTGCTTTGCAACTCCTTCAGCAGGCGGATCAATCTTCGACAGTTGTTCGGCAGCTTGCTTCGCCATAGCGGTCTTTAGAATATCAATTGTGAAACAAATATGCTGTCATATTTACATCAACCTCATCGTCCATGATTGTACAGATAATGATAACCTACAAGGGAAAAATAGTTTGATCACCGCGTGAAGAAATTCACATCACTTTCGTTGACGTTAAGCCAAGTTTTTCCAACCTAGCATCACTCACAAGATACGGAATTTTAAATCAAGAGCCTTAACATCACATCCCACACCACAAACGCCAGGAGCAATCCGAAAAGACGCAGCGTCCCGAAAATTAGAAAGCTTTTTACTCATATTGACTCAACTCCATGCCTTAAATGTAGTTGTACGAACGTCTTCATCTCGAACTACTTTCAATCTACTTTTAGTAAGAGTCAAAAAGTAAGTTAAATAAGTTTAGAGTTGCACTGATGACTATAATTCTTTGCGGTGCCCAAGTTGTAAAAATAGGACCAAAAGGACAACGACATCAAGGACCCATATTTTACAGTACTACTAGTACTATGCACAGGTGATATCAACTGCAACAATCCATAACATTTTGGGGAAAGCGTTTTTAGCCCAGAGCGTGACCATCGCAGGCGTTTGTCTCCTTGCTTCTCGACTGGGATGAAGATGCGTCTGGTTTTTGTCCTTCTCGACAAAAGCGACGAAGAGTAGTTGCTGTCGACTAGAAACTACTCACGTGTCCTTTCCGACTGAAAAACTGTTGCCGTGTCCTTTCCGACTAACAACTGTTGTCTCGTCCTTCCCGACTGAAAAACTGTTGCCGTGTCCTTTCCGACTAACAGCTGTTGTCTCGTCCTTCCCGACTAGAAAACGTTGTCTTGTTCTTCCCGGCTAGAAATTGTTGTCTTGTCCTTCCCGATTAGAAAATGTTTTCTCGTTCTTCCCGACTAGGAAATGTTTTCTCGTTCTTCCCGACTAGAAATTGTTGTTTTGTGCTTCCCGACTAGAAATTCAAATTGTTGTTTTGTCCTTCCCGACTAGATTGAAGATGTTCTTACTGTCTCCCTTCCCGACTAGAAAACTGTTGCCGTGTCCTTCCCGCGTAGCAACTGTTGTTTTGTCCTTGCTGACTAGATTGAAAATGTTGGCTCTTGTCTTGTCCTTCCCGACTAGAAAACTGCTGCCGTGTCCTTCCCGAATAGAAACTGTTGCCTTGTCCTTCCCGACTAGGTTGAAAATGTTGGCTGTTGTCTTGTCCTTCCCGACTAGCGAACTGTTGCCGTCTCCTTCCCGCCTAGCAACTGTTGTTTTGTCCTTCCCGACTAGATTGAAGATGTTGGCTGTTGTCTTGTCCTTCCCGACTAGCGAACTGTTGCCGTCTCTTTCCCGCCTAGCAACTGTTGTTTTGTCCTTCCCGACTAGATTGAAGATGTTGTTGCTGTTGTGAATGTTGTTGTCTCGTCCTTCTCGACTAGAAATTGTTGCTTTGTTCTTCACGAATAGAAATTGTTGCTTTGTCCTTCCCGACTAGATTGTAGTTGTTGTTGGTGTTGTGAGTGTTGTTGTCTCGTCCTTCCCGACTAGAAATTGTTGCTTTGTCCTTCCCGACTAGAAATTGTTGCTTTGTCCTTCCCGACTAGATTGTAGTTGTTGTTGCTGTTGTGAGTGTTGTTGTCTCGTCCTTCCCGACTA